CTGGGAGTGTCATGCTTTCTGCTGGTGGACAGGTGGTAGAATAAAGGTTGTTGTCAGTCCACCAAAGATATTGCGACGCCAGTTCCCACTGATGTTGAGGGTGCCCAGATCTGCTGCTGATGGTTTCTGCAAATCCCATGAAATGATCAAAACCACATTTTTGCAAACAAACCTTTATGAATTCCCTGTTGCATCAGCCCTGCTCATTTCTTGGTAATAGAAACCACAAAGAAAATTCTGATGAAACAAGCCAGACCTGAAGGCAGAAGATATTGAAATCTGGAAGATTTAATTTAATATTTTTATTACATATTTTTGGAGCCCTGATTATACCCCCACCCTCCAGGAATTTATTTACCTAAAGAAAATTATACTACTGATTACAAGATTGCAGGTTCATTTTCACGGCTGAGAACTCATTTTTTTACAGCTCACATTACACTTGCATGTCTTGTAAAGTTTTGTAACATCTCGAAATTTTTAACGCTACATTGCAGAAAGGTACTTGTATATAGATGAACTAGGCAGAATGCTTGCTTTGCAGTCTTTTTTTTTTGGGGGAAGTTAGTTTCTTGGTTTGAATAGGCCTGTAAATGGTTTGTTTGAGCTATTGGATCACTACTGAGTTTGCAGGGTGCTCACAGGAGCTGCCTTGTGTTTGTCCTTCAGGCTGAGAAACTGAGAGGGGTGTCTTTGAAATATAACATAAGAAGGAATGCTTTCTGTGGGGGAATAAAAACAAATTATGCAGAAATCGTGACTGTAGTGTGCATGAAATTATACTGGCAAGATCCCTGTGGTAAATATTTGACAGATAGGACAACATCTTAGTCAGAATCTCAGTTTTTCCAATAAATCATTGCACCTGGGCCTCTTAAATCATAATTCACATCAGCCAGCACTGAATACTGAGTTAAGGTCGGGAGAGATTTCCAGATGTATTATTATCTAACAATTCAGTTAATAGAGCCATAGAATCGGATGAGATTTTTGTCAATTCTGATGTCACAGTAACAGAGACCTTTGACTGAAACAACATCATGAATATTGGATAAGATCCTGCAGTGCTGCTCCTCTGTGTTATGATATTATCCAAGGATGAAGGTTATAAATACATGAGTTATACTGTTTACTTTCCAGTTGGTAAAAACAAAGAAAAAAACTCCCATAATCAAGTTCCAATACACAACTAGATATAATATAGCTTTTTCTTTATATATATATCTGTATATATATCAAGTAAAAAAATCTAAAATAGTTGGAAGTAAAAAATGAAAAAATAGCTGATTGTGTTATTTTTTTTCTTTACAGTGATATGGTAGCAAATACAAGACAAATGAGTAATAAATCTTTACATAAGGTGTTCTGGTCCCATCTCCATCAATAGGGCTCAGACTAGAATAGAAAAATGGAACAAGGTGATTTTTGTTTTTTTGGCTACAGCTTATGCAAGTGACAAAGATGATGCTGATAAGATAGAAGGAAATTATAGCGCTAAATAAAATAAAACTCCAATGTGTTTTCCAAAAGACCTTAAACACCAGAGTAAAATTTACTTCTGAACTGGGGGAGCAAACACAAAGCATCACCAACTCCTACTTAGGCTAAAAACACCGTATGCTTATCCTGGCCTCAAAATAATGTCCCTTTTGTGCCATCTTACCATAACAAAACCCCTATCAATGCTTTCGCCCCGACCCGTGCAGACAATAATAAAAAAGCAACACCCCAAGTCCTTCGAATGGGGTGAGACCTCAGTGATGCGCAAGTGGTTGGCTTCCCTTTGTCTAGCAGTGAATTTTCCCCAGAATCCTTTACACTGAAAATGTCAATTGACTAAGCTTGGCAAATGGTCACACTGAGCCCTATCTTGGCTGTAGAAAAGAAAGACGTACTAGTCTCAGCAAAAACCAAGATCATATAGATGGTCAACACAAAACAGTATTTTTTTCAGTTGTCTGCATAATAATAACATCATGTTTGCATATAGAACAGCTTTTGCATTATTGCTCTACTTATAAGAATATAGTAAGGAACTTATAACAGACTTGCACATTACAAACTTAAGGTTCTTTGGTGAAGAATGAGAAAACAGTATTTTAGCTGTAATTAAATCTCAGAGAAGTTTTTGTATTTATCTGTTGATCCTTTGGATTCTCTCACAGAGGAGGGAAAGGTATTGAGTCAGCTTTACCATCGCGACAATGGCGACCCCGCCGATCATCATGCAGGTGGGCCAGAAGAGGGAGTGGAACAGCACGTTGGAGCTGTACAGTTTGGTTAGTATCACGTTCTTCTGAACACCTTCGGGGTCATAGAAGCAGGAGAAGCGTTGGTACTTTCTGAAGTTTTCCATCACAACGTTCACCAGCGACATGGATTCCTCGTAATTCTTGCCGCACTTGGGTATGTACGAACACTGGGAAGAAATTAGAGGGAGAAAAATGCGTCTCCAAACCAGATACAGTGTCTGTTTTCAGGTGGCGAGCAGGAAAATCTCAAGATGATTATGCTTTTCATAATAAGAGGGGAATACTATTAAGCTAATAATAAATTTATCACAGATAAAACTCAATATTTTGCACTTCTACAGAATTTCCCATTGGAGAATCTCCAAGTGCTGTACAAACATTAATGCTTTAATCTGCACAGCGGCCTCGTGAGATAGGTGAATATATTATTATTGCTAATTTACACATGCAAAAATGGAACTGATGAAGTATCTCTTCATCTTAAGTGGCATGCATATGCTCGCAGTTAGATGGGTAATTGACTCTCTGTAAATACAAATCTGGTAGTTCAGATCTCACTTGGATCGAATCAAAGTGATTATAGTGGGCACAGGAGTTCATCCACAGAGGAGAAGGCTGATGAGAGACCTTTATACAAATTTTCCCTTGGGGCTAATGCCTAAATAGATAGTCTAGGAGAAAACGCAGTTCCTACTGACAACCCCAGAAGACTTTCATTCAACCTCTAGCTGAAGATCAGCCTGGCCACCAGGATGGCTCTTAGTCTTGTTTTTGCTCTTGACCCCAACGTAAGTCCAACAGTTCCTTCTCTCTGAAGATGCTGCTTGAATTTCAGCTTCCGTCACATAAAAAAGAAGATTTGGGAGTGGCTCTAATGCAGTTTCAACCTAGCATTCCCAAAGAACACTAAAGGCAAGTGAATTAAAAAAATAGCTTATGGAGTCCATGCATTGAAGACATTCTATGGAAAATGCAGGACAGTGGCCCTGGGCTGTGTTGACCATTCCCTGCAAAGAGCTAGCGTGGGCTGGTGAGGTGGTGGGCACACGCACAAGGATTGAAGCTGCATCTGGATTTTGACCTAAAGCAGAAATGCCTGAATTTGCTGTTGCTGCTGCTGGCCTGGAAGAGGATTGATGGGAACAGCCCTGCTCTCTTCTAGACACTCACACCCCTCCGCACCTGAAGGATTTCTACACCTGCACAGGATTTGGATTAAATTCCCTACCCAGGCAAGAAAGGCTTCAGAGCAGGGGAAAATCTGTTGCTTAGCTTCTCATTGAACATGCATGGGGAAACCTAGCAGGTCATCGTTCCCTGGCAGTTATGGGGAGATCGTGGGTCCCTGCCATGCTCCCTGCGCTGCTGAACATGCTTGTCGTGGGTGAGCATGTGAAGTAGTTACAGATAATTTAATGAGAGAAAGTGAGTTTTGCAAAGGAAAAAAGATGTTTTGATTAAAATAATGTGACCCGTGGCTTTTGATTATTACTGTTTTAATGTATATATTTTATAAATGTCCCTTGGTTCTTTTTCATGACTATGCTGTGACTTTTTGTAATGTATGTGACAAATCTCTAGTCCTAATAATGATCAAAGGATTAACCTCATAACAGGATTTGATTGATTCATTGGCAAGTTTATTAGCCAGAATATGATTTGAACTGCAGCAGAAAGATCCTCTGGTGTTAGCAGACCGGAGCGTTAAGGGTAGAGCGTGGCAGCACTGCCATTATGAATATTTCATAGAGCTCTAGAAATTAGAGATGGAAAATATCAGACGCTAATATCTCATCCATCTTCCTGCTGGTGCAGGTCTGCTCCCTCCAGGATATTTTCTTGCGCTCTGCCCAGCTTTGTCTTAAATATCCAGAGCTGCAAGCCCTCTTCCAGTGCCTATAACTCTTTAATAGGTCATAATCTAGTAAATAGGGAAAACTTCTCAGTGAAGCATACCTCATTGTCTTTTACTAAATTATGTGCTATCACTGTTGTAACAGCAGTATTTCCAGCTCAGATTTTTTTTTTCTTGTAAGTTTGGTGCTATACACTTTTGTCTCTCAAAGTCCCAGGTGTTACTATCCTGAGCAAGGAGACTAAATGAGGACTTCCCCACTCTTGCCAAAGTCCATTCCTCCCCCCTTGACAGAAAAGAGCAGGCACATAAAAGCCCAAATGGACTCAATGTTTGTGGAAATGTCCCAAGCGTGCAGCAGGAGGAGGTCTGACTTCCTCCAAGACTGAGCAAAGCAGGACTGAGCATTCTCAAAGGAAACCTGATGCTGAAGCAGCACCTGAGGTGTTGCCTCCTACACCTGTTGGCACAGAGCCACCAGCCATGTTGGGCTGGTTGGGCTGCCTGTGCCAAGAGGACCTGGGAGCATGAAGCTGTGAAACGCAGTTGTGCAAGGGAGGTTGATTTACTTTGCCTCTCAGCCAGGCTCCTTGTACTGAAACTCTTTCTCCAGGCTATGGTCTCCCATGCACTCTCCAAGACATGGGTGCCTTTCACTCCATATGCCATCTGCCTTGTCCAGTTCTCCTGAGCTCCTGGAGGCATCTTGGCCTCAGCCTTGAGGAGCTCCTCAGCATAAGGAATCCCTGCGTGCATTAAGTTGTGTTTGTGGGGTGCTCCTGGTGTCCTCCCACTCCTTGGCTTTCCCAGTGATATCCCAAGGATAGCACAGGGCTGGCTCTGCTGTGCTGCTGTCTACCATGTTGCGCAGGTCATTGGCGAGCAAGTAGGTAGACATGGATAATGGGATGTTTTGAGTGTTTTCTTTGGTTTGATCTTCATCAAATTTCTAGTTTTCTCCAATGCCTGGCAGGGATTTTTATATCCACAATTGTTACGCTGTACCTGTGAAGGTAGACTACTAAATCTATGCTGTTCTGTCACACCTCTGCATTGTCAAACACTTGGAAATCTGCAAATCTGAAAGCAAACAATGTCTGGCTCTCTACCTCAAGTTAGGATTCTGTGATACAATGTGAGAAAAGTGGTTCTTGTGTTGCTTGCAATCTGATTGCAAGAAGGACATACTAGACAGTTATGGAGAGAACTTGTTATTGCATTTCCAGCTCAGCTTTTCTAATTTAAAGGACTGGATAGATAGCCTGTATGAGCCACCTCTGGACACGTCCAGCCCAATGCCCTGCTCAGTGCGGAGTTGCTCAGGGACCTGTACAGTCAAGTTATGAATATCTCCAAGGACTGAGATCACACAACATCTCCGGGAAAGCTGGGGGCAATTTCATTTAATACAACGAAGTTACACCGACAACCCTATTGCCAGAGAGGGCCCCTCTTCAGGCTGGGCAGTGGAATACACGGCTCTCGTCATGTATCTGTGGTTGGGGTCTATGTCCCTGTCACGCTGAGCTTGGAAACTTTGATAAGATGTGCTGTGGCAATCTTTGTGAGACAGTGGTCAGGACGTCAATTTACACCTCTTTTGGAAAGTGCAACAGGTCTGAACTGAGGGCCGAAGGGGGAACTTTGTGTCTGTGTTGACCTGATATCGATTCCTGACTGAACGCTCCAGCAACAGCCCAGAAACGGGTCTGCTGGGAACTGCAGCCAAACATCGCTGCTCCCCCTGCACCAGGCAAACTCCTCCCCGGGTTATAAATACCTGAACCTTCAGCGGGGAACCATGAGATTCCCCCATCATTTCTGAGTCTCAGGCAGTTATAGCTGGCATAACGGTGATTCTGGTGATTAAAGCCTGCTTGTTATCTCACTTATGGAGCACGGGTATAAATCAGCAGCAGCTCCGATGACACAAAAAGAATCAAAATGATATAGTATGAGATTGAAACGGGGTGTCTAGAACTGCTTTAACTACAGCAGCCCTTCCTCAGGGTGACAGCCTGCCTCCGTGGTCCAGGCACAAGGGGACACCGGCCGATTACCTCTCCCAGAGGCTGTTACAGCTTCTGACGGCTGAGAAAGGAAAGTGTAGCTGTGAAAGCATTTAAGCCACTACGGTTGTACCATTGACGAGGGGCTGGGCTTGTCTTTAAGGCTAGAGATAAAGTATGCACGGTAGGAGCAATGAAAAGCAATAAAAAAATCTCATGCGCCTTTCTGGGAAAGACTCAAGCAGCTCGACTAGTATCCATTTACTTCCCACTGATTCCCACCGGAGACTGGCAGCAGCATGCTGTAGATCTCAATATAAATTGTACCTACTCCTTACTGCACCTTGTGGGATGACAGCTAGGTTAGACAGCAAGTCTCCTAGATTAATCATTATTTAAAATCAAAGTGCATTTTTATTTTTGCTCCATTTGTGCTAGCTAGTGGGGAGAGGAGAGAGGGGCTCCAGATGCTGCTCTGCGTGCGTGGCAGTGCTCAGCGAGGCAGAGAGGTTAGCGGGGGGATGCTGACCTTTTGAAGGTCACTGGTGTTGGCCTTGGGAGGGTAAGCACCGTGCTCTGCAATATCCCCAGTAATGTCAGGGCTCAGTGAGCGAGGGCTGGTTTTTGTTTGGGGTTTTTTTGGTTTTTTTTTGTTTTTTTATTTGGCAAAGAGAATGATAGGAAACACAGACCTGAGTAGGTGGATGGAGAGAGACAGCTAGCACCCAGCTGGAGCATCACAAAACCAGCCGTGCTCAGGGCTGCTCATCTCGCTGCAGGGGGTTGCTCTCCAGCCGGGGGAGAGGGAGCACAGATCCAGGGACCTGAGGTGGGTTGTGCTGATCTGAGCTTGGAGTTTCTGCTGATCCCAGACAGGCCCAAGAAGCCAGGTATTTCATAGACATTGCAAACTTCCATTCAAAACTGCATTTGGATTCAGGTCACATAGCCAGCAGCATGTCAGAAAAACCTAGGAATCCTCCCGAGAGCAGAGCTTAACCTGTAAAACAACCTTGGGCTGGAGAAGTATTAACTGTGCCTACCTTAAATTAAGAGGAGGCGGCATCTGCGAGAATTTCAAAGTCCATTTCAGCAAGCAAAAATCATCAATAACAGAACGTGGAGATTTATGCTGAATCTCATGATTTATTTGAATCCAGTGGAGCACAGAGACCTATCTGATCTGTTTTAATCAAATTGCGGCACAAGCATCAATGGAATTTGCTTCTGCCCCAACAGAAAGTGGGGTCTGTCCTGCCGCAGGCTTCACGGATGGCGAGTGCCCCCTTTCTGCACTGATGCCGAAGCAGAGGGGAAGCTGGGGGCACTGTTCTGCATTTCACACCTCAGATCCAGGGGACTTCATCTCTCAGCCACAGGAGCTAATTATCCAGCAGAATAACCGGCCCAGTGCAACCACACCATGCTTTGACTAATTTTAATATCGCTTCATCTTAATATGCAGAAGTAATTTGGTCTACTGAACTGCTGCCATAAATAGAAACACAATAGGTTACGTTGTCAGCAGCCTGAACCGGGGCTCTGCTGTTACGGGCTGTGCTTTGCCAAGTACCCACAGTTTGGGGTTCAGTGACCTTGGATAACTAAGTAGTTAATGCAAATCTGGCATTTGTAAGTCTAATGACTTAGCCGCATCCCGGCTCACTGCCGCTTGCAGTCTTAGGTACCCAGGTGCTGTAGGTACAAAGAAGGGAAGGGGGGCACAGGGACATTTCTTAGTCCAATTCTGCCTTGCTATGCGGAGGCAGCAAACAGCCACCTGCGAAGAGGCAGTCACTTGCCTGGGTGTGATGCACAGCACTGCGTCAGCCGCACAGCTGTGGCTGCGGGCCGGCGAGGAGATGCCTTCTGTGCATCCGCTGCGTTCGTTATAGCCTCCAGACAGGAGCTGTCTCCATCCCACCTGGATGGAGTTACGCTGGATTTTGTACTTGCTGAAGCAGAGAGGAATTCTTCTGCAGATTTGTTAAAAATAATTTTTTTGGTTCAACATCTGGAGTAAGGAAAGTTGTGCAAGAAAGATGGGCTGACTCCTTAGCTTACCTGCGTCCAAAAGCCAGGTTTTTTATTTTTATGCTGCTGCTTTTATCTTGGCAGTCCCTGCTTAGCAAACCTTCAGCATCTTTGCACCATCCGCAGGGGTAAGTGCTGTGCCTTGACCCCAGCAGCAGAGCTGACCTCAGTGGAGATGCTCAGGGCGCAGAGTTTCTCACCGGAGACCGAGATGGAGACATGTCTGCTGTTAGACACAGGGCTCTCGTCTGCCCCCATCGCCTTGCCTGGCCCTGCAGTAATAAGGCCATTCCTATTCTCACCGCTGCGGACACTCGTGCACATGGCTAGGGGTGTTTGCTCTCATGCAGAGCCATACCTGGGTGGGAAGTGGCTTGTCCACATCTCCACGAGAGTATCAATGTGACAAGGGCTCAGCGCTAGCCTGTGCCTGTGAAGCACTGCTCGAGCTGGTGAAGGACGAGGGAGGCTCCAGCCTCCAGGACCACTGCCCCACGTGGGACTGGCTGTGCTCCCTGCATGGGATGGCGGCGAAAAACTGCCCCCTTCAGAGATGTGAACTCAGTTTGTGTGCTGATTTCTGCTTTCTGTGCTGTATTTACCAGGGAAGCAGGACCTGGAAGCCTTATAGTGCTCTAATGCAAGGAATGAGTATAACAAGGTGAGCAGCTCTCCAGAAACCCATTTAGGAAGAAATTTTATTCCATGCTCCTACCTCAGAATTAATTTTCATTGTCTCCTCGGTGTGGTAGAGCAGAAGCTTCTGGCCAGAAGAGGTGAGATTAACGTACACCTGAAGGCAGGGGTACTGAGAGATTTTCCAGCAGTCTGGACCGCAGCTAAATGAGCAGTTGAAGGTTTCTGTGATGGATGCGTTGAGAAGCGAGCACTGAGCCTCTTCTGTCCAGACACTAAGCAGGAAAAGAAGAGACGTTAGAGCATGGCAAAAATGGGCAATAAGCACTAAACACAGCTCAGGCTTTTCATCAGAGATATACCAGGGGGCATCTTGTAGGAGATGGTGCATATTGCAGGGCTTTGAGCAAAGGCTGGACTTTCTCACGTCACACATCACAGACAGTGTGCATTATTCTGTAGTACCCAAAGTTTGTCCTTTGGGCACAAAAATACCTAATTCACTTATGTCTATGTACGAGTGAAAAGGGAACTGGAACTTTTAGTCTAGAGAAGGTATATTTGAAATCAAAGGGAATTAGCAGAGAAATAGGAGAAGAAAACCGAGCAGCCTGCCCTGGGGAGAGCACAACACACGTGATGCTGCATGACGGGACACCCTGGACCAAGACGTGATGGTTAACCACAAAGTCCAATTCGGCTAAAGTGGAGGCAGGGAGGACAACTTTGCATTATCAGGGTATGGATGAAGAGACAGTCACACAGAAGTGGAACCGCATGCAGCTCCACCTATGGAAAGGCTTTTTCTAGTGGCAGCTTGCTCAGTTTCCCATAAGTTAAGTCAACTGATGTAATTGTTCTGGAGGATTTCAGCTTATCTCCAATTCACCTGAGGCTAAAACTGCAATGATGGGAACTGGGTGTGCACTGGCAATGTTCGCTTGGGATTCTTGCATGTATTTAAAAATCTACAGCTGTATTTTCCTTAGGGATGAGAGCAGCGGGAAGGGCACGCTGAGGGCTCTGTGAAAAGTCCTTCACGGGCTCGGGGAAAGGTTTCACCCCTTTAGCCCCGCTCAGCCCCTCAGCTCACACCCAGTGCGGCTGTCCTACCCCTCGCCGTGAATGGGCTGAGGGTCTGCTTGCCCCTTGCCAAACCTACACAAGGCTTTATACGGCAACTGATATCAAAGATTTCTGACTAATTCCTTTGGTATTTTACTTTGGCAGTAATTCTGCTTGTATATTCTGTTTTACATTTATATTAAATTATGCTACGATTTCTGTGGGGAAATCAAGTGAAAGAATTTTTTTTCCCCTCCCAGGCAGTACTGTGTTGGAGGGGTATTGCTGTCTGTAAAGGAGAAAAACCCCTAAGGAGATCTGGCTGTGCGAAGAGAAGTGACAGCAAAGACTCCTGAGTTGTCTTCTCCTCACTTTCACCTTTCTGGCTGCTGTTTTATTCATGCATGGGGGTAATAAAGTAACACCTACCTACAACAGACTGGTGAAGATGGAATATTTGATACTTCATAGGTGCTTTGATATCTTCTGGCAATTTTTCAGTTTCCACATGAGAAATTTTGACCTTAGCAGCCTCTGCAATTGACCCTGACATTGCTGAAAGGTCTGTGAGAGCAATTTGGAAAAGCAAATACACTTGGATACTTAACAGGTCTTGATCTCTGTTTTCAAAATCTAAACTTTGCCTGGATTTAAAAAGGGACAAATACCTTTACTGCACAAATAAGATGCTGCAAATCAGTACAGTTCATCCTCAGGCATTGTACTTTTTCCCTATCATTGCAGGGTCAAGAAGGAATATTTTCCTGCAGGTGCACCCATATAATTGAGGATGTTCATACCAGTTAATTGTAGGTACTTACTGGACATGCCAAAAGAAGCAGCCTGTGGTGGATAAGCCAAAAAGTGCCAAGTACTGGCCGCTGCCTCAGGCTGGTTTCGGGCATGACAGACCAATGTTTTGATCCCCGATTACACATTTTTTCATTCTCCTAACTCCTCTGATCAGGGCAGAAAAAACATTGCTGACAGTCTTATTACAGTCTGGGCTGGATTTTAAATAGGGCTGGTGCTTGAAAACTGATTTCAAATGCTGCTAATGAATCACAGGCCAAACTTTCTGCTCCGTGGCAGAGAAGGAAGCCAGAGAAGGCCTCAGAAAAATTAAGTGCGGTGCAATAATGATGAAAGATGATCTTTCGCTTTCAGCAAATTACTGTATTTCAGGTGCATTTCACTTGTTAAAATGAAAATAATAACCTACATGGAAAACTACATGCTACAAAGCAGCTTGATTTCCTTCCAAAATTAATTCTCCATTCTTCATTTGAAAGTGCGTTGTTTCTCGAGGTTGCTGAATATTTTTGCTGTTTTCTCCTGAGTTTGGGCTTTGCAGCAACAGCCCCTG